TTAATTGGACTCTGAAGGCAGCCAGTCTGCCAGTAGTTCAGAGCTGGTCTAAGGAGCAGTAAAAATGTTGGAAGCCATGAGCCAGCTTGTTTCTGGGGCTCCCCCTGCCAGCTCTGCAGCTCTGTCTGTGGTCATGCAAGCAGGTCTTTCAGTTTTGGTTGTGTCAGGATGTGGAATAACTCGTTAAAGCACACCCAGCTCCAAGAAGTCCTCTGCAGGTCTCCATGGCTGGGTGGGCAGTGAGGCAGGAATGGAGCTGCCTGATGCCACAGCAGGATCAGTGAGAAAACCAAAGGAGAGAAACAGGTGCTTGTTTTTCAACAGTGGCTTGTTCATTGCAAATAGATGCTGTCTCTGGAAGAGTAAAGCCAAACACATGCCGCACTTCTTTCTAGGTGTGCATTTGTTAGAAGCAACAATTCAGGAACAAGTTAGAGTTTATTTAAAGAATGGAGCCTTTAGGGGTGTTTTCCTTGTCCTTGCCTGTATCTCCTGCTGAGCACCCCACTTCACGACATGCTGAAATCTCCTTCTCAACCTCACCCCATGCCTCTGCCTTCCCCTCCCACCGCCCCCGTGCCTCCCTCCACCCAGCCTTTCCCTGCTCTCCCTGCACCATGCACTGCTGTGCCAAGCCCCTTCCTGCTCCCTCTGCAAACCCATCTGTGCTGTGAAACTCCCCACCTACAAAGACCACACGCTGCTGTCTGGATCCCACTCTCTTCTTGTTTTGTATCAGTTTAAATCTGTTGGCTTCAATGGTGTTGCTTCTCCCCTTGCAGCTTGAAGCAAGAATCACAACTCGGTATCTGGCCGGGCTGTTCAAGGATAAAATCTTCCTGGGGAACAAAAGGCTCCCATTGCTTTCTCAGCAACATAAAGCTTCCTCTGCACTTAGATCTGCATGTTTTTAATTGTTTCCATGTTGAACTGTAGCTTTTTCTCCCAGGCAAACAACATCTTTGCTTGCTGCTGTCCTGCTCTCAAACTCTTCTGTCTCTGTGAGGTGAGGGAAAGGTGTTTGCAAACCCTTCTCCCACTGATACTGGGTATGGTTGCTGAGGCTGGACTGGCCATATTGCAAACACTTAGCCCTGGCCCTGGGAAATGTGCTCCAGGTACACCAGAAGATGTACACAGGTACACAGGTTCACTGCTTCCTTGAGAGACTCTCCCTGAACATGCCAGCAGGGAGACAGTTCTCATATACCTAGGGCCCGAGGACCATGAGTCTAATTACTGGGATATAGGGATGTTCCTAATCACGAGCTTTGGTGTGTTGTACAACACATTCTCTTAGTGTTAGTGGCAATCTTGGTTACTGGCTGGAAGACTGGAATTTGGCTGTAGCAGAGCCCATTCCTCTACCTCCAGCGTGTCCTCCCCCTTCCCCCCATGAAACCACCCCACTGCTGACAAAGAGCAGGAGGATGCTTCGCAGGAGGAAACACCTTTTGGAGGGACACACGTCCCTTGTACTGAGAGGTCGTTGTCCTGAGACTTGGTGGATACCCAGAAGAATCACATGGAGCTGTGTATGTAGAGAGTTGGCGTTGACTATAAAAACCCACCGCATCTAAAAACAAGGACAGCTTCTCCCAGAGACACCTGCACGATGCTTTCTGCGTGGGAAGAAACAGACACAGTGAAAGCGAAGTGCAACATTTTGCCCGAAATGGCAGCTTACCGAGTCAGAGCTTCGCAGTGACAGATCCGTGCCCAGTCAAGCCAGCTTCTACATTTTCTAAATGTATTCTCCGGTGCCTTTGTCATGATTGGAAACACCACAGCTGAAGCTGTTCATCGATTCTGTGGGTTTGTCAACCTAAAGCGTTTTTGATGGCCGTGCAGCGAGGTATCTGTTTACCCTGCTTTCTCTATTTGCTTCTTACCTGGGCAGATTGCTGAGCCTCTGTGAATCCTCATTGATTTTCCTGGGAGCGAAATGTCATTACTGCCGCGGGCTGCACACATCAGGTACATTGGAGAACAGGATCGTTAGGGGGCTGTGTCATTAGCTGCGCTCCTAATGTACTCCACAGTGCTTTCTTCTTGAGGAGGTGGCACTGATTGTCCGAGCTGGCTGCCTCATCTGCTCTCAACACAGTACCACTGGGTCTTGTACAACCTCTGGTGTGTTTATCCCCACACAGCTCAGGTGCAGGGTACACAACGTTCCTGCGGGAGGTCGGGTGCTAGAGGGACCTACACAAAATCACTCTGCGGCCAGGCAAGGAATTGAGCCCAAGCCTTAAGAGCCTGTGGCTGAGGTGAACGGTGAGGCTGGGCTAGCTTGTAGCTGGAGGACACCGTGACAGGACCTTTGGGCCTCTGCAGCCCTGGTCTCTCAGTCCTTACCCAAAACTGCCCTTTAGCAGACTGAGGTATTGTGGTATCATGCAGCCATGGGTTGTGATGGGGTTGTTCTGTCCTCAGAGTTTAGTTGATGCCTGCAATATAGGCATATTTGGCTTTTAAATAGCAGTCACAGCCTGCTATTCAACTCCGCCCAGTATCTGTATCTTTCCTTCGCCTGTGTGCAGTCAGGGAGATATGGCTTTGATCCAGCAATTGCATCTGATCACACACATCTGTTAATTCCTGTTCAATAATCTAATTGCCTACAAGAAAAAATTGCCGTGTGTTTTGTAAAGTTTTCTATTTTTGGAAAGTTCCTAGTGAGATATTTTATGTTCAAACGGCAGAGATATAGGTCACAAATCATATTAAGTTTCCATTTTTAGTCATCTTTCAAGAGTTAATAACATTTTACTTGTCACACAGCCCCGATAAAGCACCCAAACTCATGGCTTATCAAGCTGTTGCAACTGAGACTTCCCACACCCTCGTTAGCACCTTGCAGTCCTGATCCTCAGCTGACCTGAGGCTGTGACTATATCTGAATTGGATGTCAGGACGGGGTCTGGGCACACATTATCACCTTCCAGGGCTTCTTGGGAAGGAAACGTGTGCATGGGCAGGAAGGGACACGTGGCGTGCTCCCACGGGTCTTCTTGTCTGCGTGGTTGGGGGTCCAGCACCCTGAGGGTCACCGTGAAGCCCATCTGCCCTGCAGGTGGGGTTCAGCCATGGTGCACACACTGGGACCTGCCTACTATGTAGAAATAGTCACTGCCCAGACCTCTTCATTCACCTGAGCTCTGAGTAGGTACAGATTTGTATCTTCCCTTGGGCTCTTGGGCACTAGCTGTTGCCCACCTTTATCCCCAGCCACCAGGGTCAGGCCTGGTTTCCTCCATTGCCCGATGCATAGTCCAAGTGAAACTCACAGAAGATTGGTTTAAAAACCAGCTGTTTTTTAAACCTCTTAGCTTTAACCATCACAAAACATTAGCATACTCACTAGGATTTAAGATGCTTGCATGCCCTTCTGCCCTGACATGGCTATGATACTGGATTCATCTACCAGGTGGCCATCTCGCCGCCTCCAGCCAGGTGCTCCCATGCAACCAGATTTCGTCAGGTGTGCCTAAGCCAATAACCTGAATTGTCACATGAATCAATTGTCATTAACCGATACAGGATCCAGCAGGCAAACAAGCTCCTTATTGGTCATTTTTAACCTCTTGCATCAGTGTAGCTACAGCTATCTGAAACACACACTAATGCAACATGCTCATGATAGCTTCTATTTTTTTTATAAGCTCTTTATAAGCCACTTATAAATAGAACCTTAATATGAAGTGTGACAGATTTCTAGTCTTTATTCTCTCCTTAGCCCTCCAAGCGCTTCCTTTCTGTAATACAGAATATATCCAGCGTGCCCTAGATATTCTCCATTCTTGCTGATGACTTTAGCTCTCAGCCATTGATTCTCTCCACTGCTTTGTCAGTGCAAATGGATCAGGGCTGCAACTGTCTTTTCATTTAACATTTAGAAAGGACAAATAAGATCAAAGGGGCAGTGAAGGGGTGATGAATGGATGATGTATTTTGTTGCTCATGTGATGCCCTGAGGTCAAGGGGTTTCATGTCAATATAGTAAAGACACAAAAATCTGTATTTCATTTCCATTGCAGAAGAGAGAACTGTAGTAGCCGAGTGAATTATTAAAAAGAAGGAGAAAAACATGGTGAGGACATTGTGTGACATTTACATAGCGTCAGTACTTTGTGATATTCTATCTCACCAATAAACTTCACCAAATTCAGTGTATAATAGTCTCGCTTTCACCACTGGGCAAACACAGTGGCACAAAATGCCCAGTTTAGGGTTACACAGAAAATCAGTGGCAAAAGAGGGATGGAGCCCACATTCACTGTAGCCTCCAAATAATGCTTCTGTTCACCCTCTGCTGCCAGGAGAGAAATTTTTTATTTATATATATATGTGTGTGTGTGTGTATGTATATATATATATTCATTTATAAGGAGAAAACTCTAGAAGTGTATGAAAAATAAACGTTTAGAAGTCTATTCTGGTTTTCATTTTTTTTTCTATGGGGGAAAATTCCATGCATCAGAGACTTGTGTGGTGTTGAAAGTTTAGAAGTAATACCTGTTCACCTCAACATATGTTGTTCAGATTTTACTGATCCCAGTCCCTTCAGTGTGCTCTTACTTTACCATTAAAACAAGCAAAGCCTTGTTGTTTCTCTTCATCCTTTCCTTACATTTAGCTACGAACAGCATAATGATGATCTTGAGGTCTCTTCCAACCTAGAAATTCTGTGATTCTGTGTGATGATGGATGTCTTGAGACAGTTAATAGATTGGCAGGCAGTTGCAGATAAGCACATCTTCTGTTTCTCACGAACCCCAGAGAACATCAGGTGCAGAACTTGTAGGATTTAAAGCACAGCCACAGCTGAGGGCTGCGGACTGTAATCTAACCTAACGCTTTCTCAGCCATAGATGCCTTCCCCTTTATTTCCTTAAAACTTTTGCTCTTGCGTCACTGATAAATCATAGCCCTTTGCTTTGTAATATAGCCCCTTTTTATTTAAAGTTTTGCCTCCCTACCCATTAAACATATCCTCATTAGTGCTGCTTTTACTTTTCAGAAACGTATATTCAATATTACAGGCTTGGAGTTCTTTTGTTTTCTCCCTGAAGAGGTAAAACCCTGGGGGATTTAAGTATCTACTTGATAGGCTCACACAATCTTAATCAGCCTATAATGGAGCTAATGGCTGTTTGTCATCCTTGGAGATATAAATTTCCTGGTGATGTCTACTGCAGTCAGTGCATGAAGTATGCTCTGACTGCCAGCAAGGTCTAATAACCAGGAGAAGGGCAGCCAGCTTCAGCAGTGAGCAGGAGACTGTACTGGCTGCTTTTCTGGGGAACTCTGCTTTTTCAGTACCGAACGGGGGAAAATGGATAATGCTGGTAAGTGAAATAAAAACAGATCTTCCTTCTTAGAGGAGCTACGGGGCTCGTTTTCTTCCTCTCTCACTTGCTGCAGGAGATGTGTTGCTTTAGCCTTTAGCTCCTTCCATTTCAATGTCCTTTATTAGAGCAAATTTCTATGTGTAAAATGTGACACGCTTAAGTTTTTAACCCTTTATCAGTCAGCTTTTCTGTTTTAAGTCTGTTTTTCCTTGAAATGTGATCAAAACTGTAACGTAGGATCTGCCTTCCTAAGATTTTCGGTTCTGTTTGAAAAGCTGTATGCAGGAAATGTGGAAGGAATGGGAAATGTATATAGCTGAGTAGGAAAACATCTTTCACAGACTGCAATAGGTGAGTATAGGTAACTAAAAATCTGACCAAAAGTGGATAGTGCGTATCTTGTACCTGCATCATTTTAAACTGCTTCTATTCCCTCTATATACTAGTTTGCTCTCTCTTATATTTAGAACATAAAATACTGAATACATTTGCACTTTTTATTGTTTTCTTTGATGTTCCAACTTTAGATCATGCATTTTCATGCCAAATAATGCACTGCATGGTTTCTAAGGAGGTGCACACAATACCAGCATTGCATATGTGATGAAATGGGTTATTTGCATTTCCCTCTTGCATTACCTCGTATCCCTAAGTGTTACAAAAAGTGCTTTTTTTGTGATGGATGTTTTGCATGTGGCTTTGATTGCTGTAAAACTTGAAGGTGTCAGTGTTTCAGTGATTCACTGATAGTAGGACAGTTCGTACCGGGATATAGAATTTGCAGGAGACTCAGTGACCTTTGAAACCTGCTCCAGTCATCAGATTTGTCTAGTATTAACCTTAAAAGTGATGATCACCTCTACAATGTATGAGAAGAAAATCTATGGTAGAATTCAGAAATGATGCTATGAGTGCAGCTTTCTTATTTTCCTATTATTATTTTTTAAATCGTGTAATAATAGGAAAACTCGTACCTATGTCTGCTTAGCTGTCCAGGTCAATACCACCTCAGGTGTGCTATGTTTCTATGACAAAACAAATTCTTGCTCTTCTCTCTCTAAAATGCAAGACCAAAAAAAATCCCCTTTCTGAAATTAAAATGTTGCCATCGTGGAAAACTACATTGCTGGTACCTGTGAGCTCAAAAACTGACTCTGTCCTCATATAATGTTCATTTCTGTGAAGCAAATAAGATGAGGAATACTCTGCTCTTGGTGCTTTGGCTAGCTCCTGAGAAGGCTTAACCTAATAAATGTTAACAATGTGTGTTTGATATTCCATGACGAGGCAGAATTTTCCAGTTAGAGGGGAAGGATCCCTGTTCTCCAGTACAGACTGCCTTTGGGCAAGAGATACCCTAAGCAGTTAATTCCTCCAGGTTTTTAAACTCTCCAGCATCAGCAACTAATACTACTGAAGTCTTGACAGAGCTATCACTTTAATCCAGCTATAAGAATCTGCTCTGGAATGAGTCACATTTATTTTAAAGGCCATTTTTTTGGAGGGGGGGGGTGAAGAGGGAAGCTGGTATCTGAAAACCATAGAAACAGATTTTCCTATGCATTTTTTTTTTCCGCCTTAGGAAGATTCCGGTTTCCTTGAGGTCTGCAAAATTTGGAAGTTAAAGTAAGTAAGGCTTTGCCCTCTGCACAACTTTACCAACTACTTGCAAAGCCTCTTATAAGGCCAGTTTGCTGAATAGCTCCAGGTTTATGTATTTATTTATTCAATTTCATGCAGAAACAGTGACTGATACTTTTTTTTTTTTTTCTGAGGAAACAATTTATACACAATTTAACTTAGTTAAAATAATGGAAGAATAGTTAAGGACCGGGTAAGAAAACCCAACAACTGGTGGCAGTAAGCCTCACCGAGAAGGTCGATTTGTTCCCAGAGTACCTTCAGAAAGACTTTTAAAGCACTTGACCCCTAATTGAAACCACACAGAGCTTGGTGCCAGCATGGGAAGTGCATAGCTGGCACCTCTGTGGGCCTGGTCCATTCCCCCCTTCATTTCACAGGGATGCCTTGTGCTGAAATCTGGGCATTTACCAGTTGGTGATCAAACAGAAAGGAGCGGGCTATCTGCAGCCATAAAACCAACTGCCCTATCAGTTTGTTCTCCAGTAGCTCACCAATTGAAATGTAAACATGCCCATGTATACAGACTGGATTACCTGCCTGGATTCCTCCTAAAGAGATGCCATTTCTGGCAGCACAGAATGGCAGAGTCCTAGCTGAGCTGCAAGTTTTAGCCGCCGACTGTCAGAAATAACAATTTAGCTATCGGTGTCAGTGAATCAGGCCTTTGTTATTACATTCATCATGCTGCCAAAGAGACTTTCAGAGTCAGACCATGGATAATTGTTGGGCAAAACTCCATCCCCTGCTCCACATAGCAGAAATATCTCTGTAATTCATCAGTCATATTCTGTGCCATCATCAAAATCATTTTTCTGGCCCAAACTGTTATTTAGAAAGATCAGTGTTGCTAATAAGTCAGCTGATTAGGTCCATGCTATTTCATGGTTTCAAGAAACAAGGTTTTCATTTAAGAAGTCCCTTCATTTCAATGCTGGGTTGCTTATTTTAATCCATGCCACTGAGACGGCTCCACACAACTGTTGTCTCGTGTGCTCTTTTAAAAGCCTTTCCTGGAATAACAATAAAATATTCATCAATCTGTGTATGGCATGGCAGGGCAGTTCTAGCAGCATTTTTTGGCCTGTTTTGGCAGCCTTTGTCTCTGACAGTTTGGCCGCAGGTATTCAGCTGTGAGACTGCCTGCTGCTGCAGGGGAGGCACCAGCAGCCCCCTGCCCACCTCCCCCGGTGGGGCCAGGGCTGCAGCTTTGCTGCCTGCCTCTGCTTCGATCCAGGCACACGGCTGAAGTCAGTAATGATACAACAACACTCACGTCAAAAAAAAAAAAAAAAAAAAAAAAAAGGGAGGGCTGGAAATAACTCATGGGAAAGAAAGAGAATATAAAAGTAGCAAGAAACTTGTGTAGCAGGAAGAGAGGAGCTTGCGGAAACAGACGTGCTCCCAAGTGATGCTTTTTTTGGGATTTCCTGCCAGAAGGAGTGAGATCAGCACTATCCCTTCCCCCAGAGCTCTTCCTCCACTCTGTCCTGCCTGCCTGGTATCTCACCTTCAAGTGGACAAGTCTCGCGTGCTAATTCATAACCACAAGGCATGCTGGTGCAAGGTGCCTGGGGGCAGGGGTTTGGCAGGGTGAGCCACACCACGGTGAGGTGCCACATTGTGAATGTGATCCTAGCCTCAGACAAAACCAGGAGGCCTTGTTTCATCTTTCTTGGGGATTTACGTGATTCCTTTGCACTTGGAATATTACTGTAGCAGTAATGAGCTAGCTGTGGTTAATTGTTACCCTGAATTATGTCAGCTGTATGGCTGGAGCTGTGGACTGTGCCTCCCAGTAAATAAGCTGTTTTAAAGGGACTGGCAGTCTTGGATACTGAATATCCTATCTTTGATCCAATAGCATACTGAACTTCTTCTCTGACCAGCAGTGAAATTTAGATTAGTCCACAGAAGCAAGAGTGCACTCACTGGTGGCGGGGCAGGGTGAATAGCAAGTATCAGCTGAGCCTTTTGCACGATGGCACGTGTCACAGGAAGGTTAGGAGACACAGGAAGCTGTCTGCTGGCTGTAACTCCCTTGCTTTTGAATTAATGCATCATTTTTGTCTTTCAGTAAGTCAATAGGACTTATTTAGCATCCTTTAGATGTAGGAATGCCAGGATTGAAAGCTTGTTAAGAATTTGAAGTTATAGATCCCTTGTAATGTCTTACCTATACTTGTGGCAAACAGTGGATATCTTATTAAATTTTAAGGAAAAACAATAGTTGTTATTAAATGTTAAGGAAAAACAAGTAGTTGGAAGAGGAAGCTGAAATTTTGGGATTCAGATTACTGTTCCTGGTTTTCTGTTGAACTCTCTGTGTTCAAAGTCTGGTGTGGCACAGCTTGTCTGCTACCCAGCAGCCTCACCGTGTTCTGTAAGGTTCACTTGGTGCCCACAAAGGGCTCTGAAATCCTTTGGCCATCCATGGCTTAGGCTTGGCTGAATTGTCCCTTTCCATCCTTATCAATTTGGAAACCTGAAACAAAACCACCTGCTGCGCAGACACTGGCAGTGTAACTGTGGGTTTGCCAGCTCTTAGCGCAATGACAGCTCCAAACTCCAGCAGCAAAATCAGCCTTGTCCTGCTGGCAGCTTCTGTTTTGACCTTGGGTAGTACCTTGCCCAAGTGACTTGCGTATGTGTTCTTGTTCTCCCCCCACCCCTCCTTATTTTTTTTTTCCCCATCGGTGTGAAGATGTTTTTGGAAAGCACATCAGCATCTCCTTTCTCTCCACCCCATGCTTACGTAAAAGTTCCCTCAGTATCTTTGCAAAGCATGGTTACCAGTGAAGTCATGCTGACTTCTACTGGGTTCACATGCTTTTTGCTATAGATCACAAAATGGTTGTCACCTGGACAATAAAATACAAAGCAACCATCAGCTCTTTTACATGACACCGTGTGTCTTTATTTGCCTCCTATTTGCGTTCATTGCCTCAGTTGAGGCAGATGCTGTAGTGTGTCACAGGTCACCACCATCTCCTAGAAAGCTGACTTTCTTCCTCCTGTAATTTTAGAATAATACCCGTGGCATATGCCCCTTTACCCAGAAGCTGGAACAGAACATTTATAAAGTCATATTCTTGGAAAATGTTTGTCAGGATTAAACTTTCCCGTGAGGATGCAGCTCCCAGTCTGTTTTCAAGTTGGCATCGATGTAGCCTCTGAGTATCTGTAGAAACTTGTGCAGGAGTAAAATGATGGTGATCTTCTAACCTAGTGATGGTCCACCAACTCTGCCTAGAATGGTTCTTGGGTAACCTCTTGGCCAGAAATGCTGGGGTTGCACTTCACACTCATCATACTCCAGCAACAATTCCAGCCTCCACAGCACTTCTTATAAAGGA